TGAATTTTATGACATCACAAAGGTGTGCAGTTTTTTGCGTCATTAAAGAATGCAAGCGTCATTAACAAATCTATTAACCCTTATTTCGACCAGAAAACCTTAAGTGCAGTTGGCCAACCTAATCATTGTAAATGGGGAAAGTCAGCATTTATAATTAGCTGAAGAATAATAAGGCCCAGAGGTTGGGAGGAGGGGGAAACACCAAAGAGCAAGCCTAGGTTCAAGAGATTAGAAAACTAATTAGTGTGAGAAGGTTTGTGTCATTCTGTAACACCAGTAGTTTTGTTACATTAAAAATATTTTTCTACCCTACGTATGTAGTATGCGAGAATGTTAAAATCCTGTATCGATGCAAAACGGTGACGCTGCAGCCTCCGTTGTTAACCGTTGTAGCCGTACATCAGACAATGAAGCTTCTTAGTACAGGTAGGTACGGCTGGCGCCATGCCCAACGCATTGGCTGCCCCTCCCGAGCTTTTCTGGGAAATTGCAAATGAAACGTGATGTAATACTTTACGCCCTGGGGATTGTTAGCGGACTTGCGGAATTCGCGGCATGACGGCGAAGTTACGACGTGCGGTACTTGCTGCTCCGCAGCACTTGCTGCTGGCGTAAACAGTCGAATTCCGACTGTGGCTGCAAATAACTGCCACTACTAAAGGGAAATGGCGTCTGACACAAAATAATGTCTTTCAGCTTCACAAAATGTGCATTTAACAAAGCAAAAGAAAGCGTCTTTAGAACTTTAACTACAGAAAGATAAATAATTATAAAATTTAATAATTCTATGCCATGGGTGTCAGTGAATCAATAGTATTCGTAGTACATCAACACACTTCCATTACTCTTGGGAAAAAGGAAATTAACGACAATAAAAATTTTAAATCATCTCTGAAGTACAATAGTTCAAAGGTCAGGACACAGACTGCGTCCCGTCACAATAAAATGTTTCGTATTCCTTTTTGGTAATTCAGGCAAAACGAAATATTTTTTTCGAATTTATTTAACAATCGCCGAAAAAATTGGATGGCAATGAAAGATATTAGTACCAAGGAAGAGTTCTTTTAAGCACATAAGAGCGAAATATGTAAATATAACACAGTCGTGCAGCGTGTATCAACGGAGAGACCTGCACCAATGGCGTGGCCAATGGCTTGTGCTATTTAATGAAGGGAGAGGGAGCGGCCCGTCGCGTAAGACGTCATAGTTTTGTCACCTTATAAATTGTTATTCAAAATTTGTATTATAAGACCGTTTTAATTACGAAAATGCACGTGTGTTTGCAGTGTCACGATAAGTTAGAAATTTAATTTAATTACGATGTTTTGACGATTTGACGTTATTTCGATAAAGGGTCCGACTCAATTAAAATTCTGATTATATATTTCATTTCTATTAAACTCTGACCGTAATTTACATTTTTCGCAACCATCTAATTATTATAAGTAATTTATTAAAAACACAAATGTATTTATTAAACGTATTATATACAAGTCTTGTTAAAATTACTAAATTAATTTTACTTAATTTTCAATTGAATTGAAGTCATTTGTACACTGTACATAATAAATATATTCTCGTATTTCATAAAAACGTGCACATATTCAGATTATTGTAAAATATACATGTTTAAGAATGTGTGAAGGACGGGAGTGACCCAATATTAACTAGGATGACATCAACTGTAGCAACGGCACCGGTATGTTCTCTTTGCAACAGGAGCGGATCCAGAAAGTATATTAAAGGCGATTATTTCAATTTGGAGCCCTAAACGTTTTGAAATAATGTTAATATTACAAGTGTATATATAATCACGAGTGGTAATCACGAGTATATATAATCACGAGTATATATAATCACGAGTGGTAGCCACAAATATTGTCGTGTTGCGATCAATAAGTGGCAATTCTTTCACTAAAACGAGCAACTTTTTTCAAAGCAAAAAAATGCTGGCTTCGTTGATCTTTTGTGGGCGCAGGGAGGCTAGGCGCTTTGCGACTCACCGGTCTTGAAGAGCACGATGGCGCGCAGGCAGGCGTACTCGTGGGCGTCCACGTGCAGCGCGCGGAAGCGGCCGAGGGCGTCCTGGAGGGCGCGCAGCTCGCCCAGCAGCGCGGCGGGCGAGGAGGGCGAGGAGGGCGACGGCGACGGCGAGGACGAGGAGGAGGACGAGGCGGCGGCCACCAGCGACGGCGAGTGCACGGGCAGCGCGAACTGCGCCGCGCCCAGCACGAACAGCTCCCGCCAGCTCGCCTCCAGCAGCAGCAGCTGCACACGTCATCGATCAATCAATCAATCAAAACAAAATCATCAAATAAAATAAATAAAATAAATAAAATAAATAAAATAAATAAAATAAATAAAATAAATAAAATAAATCCTCTAGAACGACTCAAGGGTAGCGTAGACAATCACCTAACAATCAACGCAATTAAATGTAATGCTATTATATTTACCAGACAACTACGACGACATTACTACCCCCATTACCATAAATCACACCTCAATATCATGGACCACGACTGTGAAATATCTAGGCATTACATTCGACAAGTGACTTTACTGGACGGACCAAGCGGTACAGAAATTTTAAATAAACTCATTCAATAACCAGTTGCATAACTCTTGATCTCATCCTAAAATAGACTACAACATAAAAGTCTACATTAATTAACATAAAATCAATGAGGAAATACGGCTGCGAGACCTTGGCGACGACTGCGACAGAAATCACGACGACTTAAAAGTCTTGCAAACCGTTACATCAGACTACCGTACAGACCACCGCCACTTACGGCATTACAAAGACTTAAAAAGACTCACAGACTGACACCGATACATTAAGACATTTGCAACAGTGGCAGACTGACTAAAGCAATTGACTATCTCAAAACCTTTTCTTTCTTCACACAGCTATAGAAAACTGACACGATTAAGCATTAGAAAGCTACAGCTTTATTTTCGCCTCGACCAGGATCGCCTAACCAAAAGCTAGCAGCACGCTGTCCGTGAACCAATCGAGGGGACCTAATAGATAGTAAATAAAATAATTAATAAAATACTTTTACCACTTTATTAATTATGACAAACAATATTTGTTACAAGTGTTGTAAGTGGAAGAACTTCAGGGAAAAAATTATGTTACTGTAGCTTATGTAATTCTCATAATTTTAAATGAAAATGAGTTGTTTATTAAACATTATTTAACCACTTAGACTTGAAAACATTAGTTTTTTGTAACCAAAAAGTAAAAGAAAATTAATCTCAGTGTTATCTTTAATAAGTATTTTTTGTAATACTCCTGACCTTGCACTCATTATCTGATTTTACATCGTAACATGTACACAATTCGCATATTTTAAAGTTTCATGCCATTGAGAACGGTGTTACCAGATGTATTAAGATACTACATTCTATGAATAAAGAGCAACGAAAATAGTAATTTCGAGCAGTAAACGTAAAAAATTAACCTATTATCCTGGCATTTTGATCACAAAAAACGCAACAATAAACAGGCGATATGTTACGCATTCTTCACGCTTGAAAGGTAATAACCTTCCGTATTACTAAAGGCCTATTATGAACTCTACCAACACTGACCCTCGGCACAAACAGTGGAAGAGCCCAGTGCGGACGCAATGAAGCGTGAACTAGCTTCCCGGGTGGTGGGGACGCCCTGCTAATTACCTCTTGTTTTCAGTGGCTGGGAGAAGGGAGAGGGAGGAACAAGGGCGGTACAAAACAATAGACTGTGCGGTGGCGGTGGCAATGCTGCCAATGGTGGTAACGGAGGTGACGATGGTGGCGGTGGCGTTGATGACGGAGATGGTGTTGGTGACGGTGGTGGTGGTGCAGATGGTGTTGGTAGCGGTGGCAACGGTTGTAACGGTGGTGGTGGTGGTGGTGGTGGCGGCGGCGGCGGCGCCGCTGGTGGTGGTGGTGGCGGCGGCGCTGGTGGCGGCAGTGGTGGCACTGCTGGCGGAGATGGTGTTGGTGGCGGTGGTGAGGGAGGAGATGGTGTTGGTGGCGAGGGCGGTAGTGGTGGCGGTGGTAGTGTTAATGATGGTGTCGGTGTCGGCTATCGTAGCGGTGGCAGCAATAACGGCTGTGGTGGGAAAGAAGGCGGAAGCTGTACAGATCTCTTAGATTAAGGCGAATGCAAGTAATGTAGCGGTTCACAGATTCAGGAGAACCAGAGCATCTTTAAACTCAAAATTGCGGTGCGCAGGAAAACATATAAGACAAAAACAACTACAACAAAATTAGTTATGTACACTGTTGCCACAATATGGGGCATATTTTCTTCTCAAAGTTGAAGTTAAGTATGATGCAGAAAGTCAAATGTTTGTAAAAAATTAATTTGTAAGAGTTATACAATCCTCTCTGATCTAATATATATATATATATATATATATATATATATATATATATATTAAACTTTTTTTCATAGACACGAAGAGGCTGAACTTTTTCTCTTTATTATGCAACCATACACGTGGGCTCTGAACTCGGACAGAACCAAATTCGGTTTAGCAATCTCAAATACTCAAAACTATTACAAACAATGAGTGTTTTAATCGATAATTCAATTATTCTATCGCAATGCCTAAGAATAGAAAAGTAAAATTTCGAATGAATAAAATTATATTTTTATTAATCGATACTTTTATTAATATAAAGAGTTTTCGTTAATCTAATTCCCTTCATCTTTCTTATTTTTTTAATAAACATAGAATCTTTCAAATACCACAATGTATTTTTTGGGGGCAATTTTGTTCGTTTGGTCTGTTTTGTCGTTTATAAACAATATTGTACATCTAGTATTTTATTCGTTCATTTTTAAAGCAATCTTAAATACCATATTTTAGTGAGATACACACATTTTCATAAAACTGCATAGTTATAATAAAAAAAATTAGGAAATCTGAGAATAACAAAAATAAATAATTCCATGTTTCAAAAGAGACATCTCCATTTTTATATTCAACCTTTGTCTCCAGCTAAACAAAACAAACCCTTGCGGGCTGAAGGCGCAGCGAAGGGCTGGGTGGAGAGCGTACCTGGTCGCCGAAGTGCAGCGCGGTGAAGGCGGGCACGTTCTTGGCCCACTTGACGTTCATGAAGAGCAGGCGCGCCGCGGACTCGCACACGGCCTCCAGCGGCAGCGGCGGGCCCAGCCCCGCGCCCGCGCCCGCTCCCAGGCCCAGGCCCAGGCCCAGCCCCATCTGAAACACACCGCGCCCCTCCGTCAGCACATACGCAGCCAGCCCGACGAACAGGCTGGCAACTGCAAACTGCTTCCTGGGCCCATGCATTGCATAGCTTGTTCAGGTAGATCAGTGGTTCGACTAATCGCAGATCCAGATTAATTGTCACTTTTTACGCTGCGAACTATTTACTAAATGATTATAGTTACATAGAAATGAGATCACAGCATGTTCATATGTTACCCAGCGGAACAAAACTTCCGTCGTATTTGATACGCCGTAAAGGTGACAGAGTGCGGAGAATTAAATATAAATATTTAGTCTTCAATAATTATGTAGCAAGTAACAGGTAACAATTTATTTGAAGCCGAATATAACGTGTTGTATGGTATATCTATAAAGCCTTGCGAAATACATTTACTCCCATGACGGTGTTTCAAACGAAAAGAAAATTCTCTCAATGACACCTATGTATCCAAATTCATCCAGTTTCAATAAACATTCACGTCTTCAAACCTCAGTTCATACCTACTATTAATGTTATAAATAATCCTGAGTTTATCGCAGTTGGAAGTTGAGGAATTAGCTTTACATTATAAAATAGTTCCATGGAAACAATCGGGCATTGGCCCGTGTTCATATTTATTTGGCGAATCAGTTTTCAACAAATAACTCTCAGAAAGTGGCTTTTAACCAACTGATTAAGGAGGAACGTTTCTAATTAAGTGATCGATAAGAAACATGTGTTCGCGTATTTTGTTATCAGACTATATGTACTTGGCAGCGTAATAGCTTATATTGATTGTGAAGCTTAACAAAAGAAACCGTGACAAAAATATTTATATATGAATTCAATTTTGAACAAAAATATTTCCATGCGCTTTCTCTTTCGAGGTAACGAAATAACATAGGATGACTTGTGAATCTTCTATTAGGTTCGCAAAAGAATCCATTATACTAAATAAAACATTACTCTAGGCGAGCGATGTAGATAAGGCTAATTCTAGAACTCGCAGGCGTAGATCTTCCACTTGTTCGGAGGAGGAGGCGGGGATAGGGTTATTAGGTGTGAACACTTCCATTAGCGACGGCCAAATCTCGTACGAGTTATCAAGGTTAAGAACGAAATGCTGTAAGAGCATTAGTATGTCTCAGATACGATATCTAATTAGCGTTCCTGCTTTGTTTATGTGGGAGTGACGTACAACGGAATAGTGGCTCAGACAAGGCCGGGATAAGTGCAAATCTTAAGGCGCCTTGCTGGTGGGTCTACATTTCCTGTGCTCTGTAAATTGTCTGCAGTCCTCATGGACCAAATGGGAGTCTTTCATTAACCTTCATATCTGTAATTATACGTTATCTTTGCACGGCTGCAAGTTATCTCCTATTAGAGAGGAAATTACTTCGGGGATTGTGAGATGCCCAAAGAATGATACAGCCCTGCCTCCAAATTGAGGTTAAGCCTGCGGTAGAGGGCATGCGTGTAATTTAAGAGTGCGCATTATTGGGCCATTATCTCGACGGGTATGCAGTCTCCCATCTGTGCGAGGATTACATTATCTTAAGTGCCATTAATTTGCAATTCGATATCGCTACTGGAAGTTCTGATTATTTGATCAGCTTCAAAAAGAATGCACGTTTTCCTGTGGAAATGAGTAATCAGATCTGTTATCTATAAGGAAGAGTGATAAGAAGAACCAATGCTTTTGAGAAGACGAAACTCTGAATCAACAGGATCGTAAATTTCTATCATTAACATTCATATAATCATTCCTGTTTCCAGGACTTTCCTTCTTTCTTCATTTCTCCGCTCCCATCTCTTTTACTATCTCGCAATTTTTTTCCCCTCTTATCACTATTTTCTCTCACTAATCTCTTTTTCTTTATTGAAGCCTAGAATTTTTTAGATTTTGAGGTTTCAATAATAAACTTGTCGAATATCTGGTAGAGTAATACAGAGCTTTCAAGATTTTCCCAGATTATTTAAACTATGAGCTAGACATTTGAAATTAATTAAATTATGAATATTTAAAAAATAATCTACAACGTCCATGAAATGTAATTATTCTTTTCCCGATTGTCTTTACGATATAAAAAGTCCGTGATTGCCAGGATACTGTCTCCCTTTAATAACATCCCCTGTATTTGTCTCAAATTCAATGAAATAAATTTGGCAATCATAATTACCTAGTTATTTGGATTCAAGAAAGTTGGTAGTATAACATTTTTATAGTTGTTGTTAACTGTTGTAATTGCTGTTACTGATATAAAGGACATCCAGAGAGGCCACAACGAAATTTCGAAAATTAGCTTTTAAATCAATTTTAAGTATATTTTGTCTAATCAACTCCTTCGAGATTTCGAATGTCTGAGTTGCAATATGCAGTAAAGTCTGATTTGAAAAAAAACGCTTTCTATGCAAACATCTGTATTTCAGAAACATAAACACTTCAAAAAATGTAAATTGTTCATCATTTAGAAAAGAAATGAATATTTTTGTTCGCAGAGGAAACTTAGCACAAATAAAGTAGCACCCAATTTACACAATTCAGTTACATTTTTACCGTCAGAGTTCCGTTGTTTCCTCTCGAGACATGTTGTATGAGGAGAGGTGGGGCGCGCTCACCTTGTTGTCGCAGAAGAGGCCGTGCGGGGGCGGCGCGAAGCCGAGGGCGGCGGCGGGCGGCCGCAGCTGCAGCGGCTCGGGGCGCGCGGGGCCGTGGCCGGGGCCGTGGCCCGCCTTGGGCAGCGCCAGGTCCAGCGCCGGCCCCGCCCCCGCCATGTGCCCATGCCCGTACCCATGCTCGTGCCCGTAGCCGTGCCCGTGCCCGCCTGGGGGCTGCGGCGAGAGGTGCGGCTGCAGCCCCAGCGGCGGCAGCGGCGCCAGCGGGGACAGCGACGGCCCGGGCGGGGAGCCGGGCTCCTTGCCGAAGTACAGCGCCATCTGCCGGCGCAGCGTCGAGTTGCGCGGCCCGCGCTCGTGCTGCACCGCTGCAACCACGCAACCTTTATAGATTTATAGATTGGGGTCGTTGGAGTCATTGAAATCCATGTGAGATAGGCTAGTGAGATAGGTAGATGATAGCGATCATGATGATGGGAGGCAACTTGTAATGAAGATGATGAAGACGTGTAATGAGAGGCAGGGGAAACTGGAGAACACAGAGAAAAACTGCAACGATAATGCACTGCAATAATAATAACATAACGGGAGACGTCTAATACGAGACCAGGAAACTGAGAGAACGTGCAATGAGAAACACGGGAACAGGGAGAACCCTATGAAAAACTGTAATGAACATGTTTTGTATATTACATATTCTATTGGGTTAAGCGGAGATGGTAGAAGCCATTGGCCAGTGGTGTAAGAAGTACGGCCCCCAAACCACAAACGTCATTCAAAATTTACTACAATCACCTTTCTTGTAATAAAATAATTGAAGACTTTGCGTTACAATGTGTTAAATCTAATACCTGATTTAAATTTCCCATTCGACGCACGATTTGGAGAGTTTTAGTGAACGAGCGCATGCGCCGAAATGCTTCTGGGGCGGCAAAGCCGCTGAACGCATGGCGCTTCGCTAAACTTCCGAAATTCTTCGTGAAAAGGATGCATGTGAATCAAGTATATTGATAACAATATTCACTAACCCCCTTATCCCTTTTGAAAGCATGCATCCGTTATCGTTTATTAGTGATTCCGGGCGCGTCAACTGCTCAGGCCATTACTTCTGTAAGTGAAGTGCATGTTTTATCGCGGGAGGTGGCGGTGTATCTCCCACTGGCTAGCGAGATCCGGCGTCGGTTTGTGGGAATTTTCACCAACCAGATATTTCGCTCCAGCATGGCACCGCCCCAGCAGGAACAAGCTCAAAGTTCCCGACTGATTTCTCGTGATAGAGTAGTGCATGCGAGTGTACGGGGCGAGTAAAGGTGAAGAAAGAGGAAGGAAACATCGCCGTGGCCCGTTTGTTAGGGTACTGATTCGGCATTCGCCTACTGTTGATCGGAGAAACCACGGAAAACTACCGATCAGAACAGCCGATCGCTAGAATTCTCCTCCGACAGAGGCTGATTTCGACCTAGCTGACAGCTAGTGTCGAAAATTTCCACTAGCGTCGGGAGTGGAACCTTAAGACCTCACAGTCAGAGGCATACAGCTTCATCAGTTAATTCCCTGAGCCACCCTCGTCAGTGATCCGTCGAGCGTGCACTCACCGTCCTTGTTCATGCCCGCCTCGAGGCACTTGTTGAGGCGGCAGGCGCGGCACTGGTTGCGGTGCGTCTTGTCCACCACGCAGCTGCCCTCCGCCTTCGCCTTGCACACGTACTGGCGCTGGCGCCGGATGGAGCGCTTGAAGAAGCCCGCGCACCTGCGCACACAAACAAGCCTCGTGCCAGGAGAGCGATCCCAGCGCCGGCGCCCTCATCGCAGAGGTTCTTGGCGCTTTGCGACAGCGTAATTTATTTATTTAACGTCAAAGAACTATGCGACGTACTATGGAGACAAGTGCAAGACGTGCATGATTTTTTGAGCTCAGGAGTGTTTGTTATAATTCACATACTTATTAAGTTTAATTGTGAATACTTGTAGCAGCATGCATTCTTGGCAAGAATTGATACGAAAATATTCGCTTCCATATAATAAAATCTATTTGCAAAGGCGAATCAGCTACTGATTTAGGTTATCCCTAGTGACCTACGTGAAGGAGTCGATATACTGCCGCGATAAAATGAAAAACTATTATTCCAACATATACATTCTCACCAGAGATCAAGAAAACGTTCAGATAATGAATTACATTTACACCCAGAAGTAAAACAAGGGGCCCTCTCAGCATTCGCTTAAAGGATCAGAGAAACTGGAGGACAAACCTGGTCGAGATGGGGAGAACGAGACGTAAATCTATTTAAACTCTTCAAAACTATGAATAAAGCGTTTGAATGTTATGTTGCATTGATATCGTTATGAATAATAACATATCGAATAATGCAAATATATCTATTTTTCTATTAAATTACGTAACTCAACATCTCAGGTCTTAACATAACCAACTATTCTTTGAACTATACCAGTAATAGCCTTAAAACAAAACTTGGTGAAATTCTGTTGATAAGGTAATATATACAGCCACTTGATGTATGATGTATGATTGCATAGCTAGATTTTTTTTTGCAAATGTTTTGATCTTCAGAATTCACGAAAAAGAAATGTTTTGCTACGAAAAAACCGATAGGTACTTGAATGTGTGAATTTTATTTTTAGTGCTTGTGTGACGACACAAACGTGATTTATATTTGATACAAGTTTAGCTAAAAAGTGATCAAGAGAAAAAAGGTTACGAATTACCAAATGCGTACTCACCCATCACAAGCAAAAATTCCGTAATGTTTCCCCGACGAATGATCCTGACAAACTCGGCAGGGAATATCGTACAAGATCCGACCTGGAAAAGAAGGAAACATACATTACATATTAATGAATATAGTCGTATACAAATGATAGAGATTCTTTGATGTCTAGAAACGCAGTTTGAAAAGAGAAATTCCTAAATAAACTTTACAAATACGCCACAATTTTTGAGGCCTACTTCCGGCGTTTAAGCGATTTCGATATATCAATCGATGTGGATATAACGATCAACAATGTGAATAAATATAAGTAATCGATTCTGCCATGAATATAGTTAATGCAGGAATAGTGAACTGGGACAATGCGAGTAATACGAAAGTAATTCGTCTTTGTCTCATTTGTAATCTGCTGAGATTAAATACATTTTTCTCTTAACCAATGCGTGTAGTTACATCGGACTTACAACCAATTTTCCTCTGAAGAGCTATGAGGCATTTTCATAACTCCAAATAAATCGTTAAAAAGTCACCGTATTTTCTTTTGAACTACACATTATTTATGCAATATTGCTCACTTTCCAAACATTTTCGTGCGAAGAATACTATTCGAATTGAACACGAATTGTAAGTTAAACGCCTTTGCATCTCAAACTATACGACGCTGGTGCGCGGAAGCAGCTCGTTATGAGACGACCGCGAGGAAGAGGGAGGGGGCATTCACCTGTGCCCGCGACTCCACTGAGCGGCCCTTCCGCCCGGCGGGCGCACCCCGCTTCCGGCGCTGCTCGCGCGCGGAGGTCCTGCAGTGCCTGGACCCGCCCTCACTTGCGCGAGTTGCTCTTTTCAGCACCGCCGCCGCCGCCGCCGCCGCCGCCGCCGCGGCCCCCCGCCGCCCCCCACAAGTGTTCCGGCACTTCCTACTTCCGGCGTTTTGTGGCGAGGCCCGCGACGCTAGGGAGGCGATCGCGGGGTCGGTGGCGGCGACGGAATGAGCAGCAGGGGTGGCTCCGCTCCCGGTAAAGAAACACGACGTTTGCCAATTCGACAAGACATGAAGGGGAGCTGAATATCAGAGCATTTGCTTTTGTGTCTTGTTACAAATACAATGCTATGATTATATTCATTTTAAACAATTTCTCATATTTTATACATACATTGAAAAATCCACGTTTTACTGTATGTACATTATGATCGAAACCGCAAGGTGCATGTTCGCCCCACAATGTAAATATATTATTTCACTTCTTTCACTGACGTGCACAATATTCACTGTATTAAAAGGGTGTACTTAAATTGATGGACGCAAAGAACTTTAAATTACTTATTAATATTCATTCGAGTACGTAAAACAAGTAAAGGCTCTACTTAATTTACTGTCTCGATCTTCTCATTTTACTCGCTCCTCCCGTGCGATTACAGAGCGAAGGAACTATTGATGTTGTTTCTTGCCGCCCTCGAAGTGTTCCCTACCTACTTCCGGGGTTTTGTGGCGGAGCCCGCACTGCTGGGAAAATGATAGCGGTGTCAGTGACGGCTGCAGTGTGAGCAGTATAGGGTGTTGCGTTTGGGGGTCTCCGTTTCGTCACAAAGTCGCAGTGTTTATTGAAGATAGAAATGTGAGATGAGTTTGCGAGAATTTACAATTTTTACAGTTTAATGACTTGGATTTTAATTTTTCTTTCTATGCTAGAGAAAAAAAGTTATTAGAAATATCTGATTAAGTAACAGAAAAATATGTAGCTGGCTATACTTTATTAGTCTCTGCAGTAAACTTCTCCAATCGATTGTGACATTGTAAAATTGAAATTCAAATCCCTTGAGTAAACGCCGATTTAGGCTGATATGATATCCAAACATTTTCACGAGAAAATGCCGGCAATTATTTACTAACGTATAATCTGTAATTATTAATAATAATTTTGACGGTTTGAAAATCAACAAGTGTTTTTCACTGGAAGAGTTTTATTCTTTTTCAATTTGGAAATAAAATGTTCTATAACATTCAGTTAACAAGAAAATAATTGGTACAATGACGAAATGATGAATTAGAGCTGATTATAAAAATAATTCAACAAGAACGGAAACATACCTCTGTTTCAATGAAAAACATTTTTACAAAGAGAATTATATAAATGCTACAATCACTTGGTGGGCGTTACACGGAAATCCTATTGCTGTAACAATTCTTCATCTTACACCCCAGCAGTATATCTATGCCGCAATGCAATGTTCCGACAGTAATTAATACCAGCACAACTTTGAGAACCTCGCTCACTCGCGCGTTGAAGTCACTAGTTCCTAGCGGCCTTTGGACACGTGATCGCTGTGTGCGATATGCAAAGTTGGCTCTTAGCTCGTGTCATAACCCCAGATTGCTCACATTACAAGGATCACGGGTGAAGTACAGAAACAGTGCTACAGTATGCAATTTACAAGTAAGAGATAAAACACAAATGTTTCATTAAGAATAATCGAAAATAGATTACTGTAACCGTAATAGAGACACTCTACGAAAAGCTGAAACCACAAAATTTAATTTCTCTCTTAGTCTTTTTCTTATTCATTATTTGCATTGTTTGAATAAAAAAAATTAACATGTGACGAAAACGTTGTACACATATTATAGCAATTAAATTGCCTCGGTAAAAGTTGTACTATTATTTTATTTCACCTTCTAAAAAGAAAGTTGCATTTTCAAATTGAAATAAACCCATTACCTATTCATTAACTAACAAGAGACAATATAACCTGTTTAAACCTACCAATTACATGTAAATGCTAATTAATTTGAATGTTAGGGAACATTACTAATACGGAATTTTAGATCGACTTAATTGATTAACTATCTGAATACATGTATTTTAATTGTAATAGAATTATTACCTATGTTTTTCTCAACACCAAAATGTTCTGGTGACACTATTTCTTTTCGTAGCGAACAAAATCGGGGAAAAGCACCAAAAACGAGTTCGTTCAATCGTTGCATTACAGGGTACAAGCAAAGCCATGTTCCGGTGGATAACCGCAGAGGCGCACTGTGTGCCTGCGCGGGCGGGGGGTGGGGGGGCGCAGCGCCCTGCCGCGCGTTCGCGGCTGACGGATGAAGCCGTCGGGCGACGGTGAAGGCCCAGTGACGTCAACGCGGACTCCCCGCCGCGCCGCGCCGCAGTCGTGCGCTCTCCCGTCCGCATCACACCCAGGAAGGAGAGCGGCCAACACACAAAGAAGTAGTAATGTTCCTGAAGTGCAAGGAAGAGACAGACTATGTTGTTGATTCCGTTCTTCCTCAATGCAACTGAATGCTGTGTGTCACATTCTAAGGGCTACAGAAACTTTCTAAGGAGTTTTCAAATACGTAGCTTAGTTTTTGATTATTTTTTCAGTGTTTATGAGTTAACGTTTTTTATTTCAAAAAATTAATAAGTGTTGCGAGAAATATGTGACTTCTTAAAGTTTTATCTGCGTCCCAACAATTTACGTGAAATTACATTTTGTAAATTTGATAAAATATACGAAATATTCCATATTGTGGAGTTGCAGTAAGCAACTTGTCACACATTTTTTTAAACGTATCAAGCTTCCTTTGCTGAAACTTTCTTAAATGATTGCGGTTTCACTAATCAATGAGAATATACATCAACGGAAAGTACAACCTGTTTCTATTTGGCAATGGCAAGAGCTACTTTATTGTTAGCATCATTATTGAATTTATTCCAAAAAGTTTTGAGTATCACATTCAGATGTGATGAACCAGCAATTAATACCATTGCTTCCATAAGACGACAAAGGGCGCAGGGAGCAGTACCCACAAAGATGAGGTTTCGAATTAACCGCATGAGTGACAGATTACCATTCAGCAAAGCATCTTAATTATTAGCTCCACACAACCAAGTTCTTTGAAACGCCGGGACGAGCGGACGTTATTCGTTGAGGTGAATAATATGCGGCTTACTCCGCCGTATTCGATCCGCTCCACTTGCGCCCTGCCAATGCCTGCGTCGCACCGTTCCGGACCGCACGTCTGGAGTACCGGGCGTATCAAATGACACTTCACGCTGAGAATAGGTGACCCGCGGCGCCCAGCGATGTGTCATCGCGCGCCCCGGGGCGCACGCGTGGCCCGGCGCGTGGCACGTGCGCGGGACGCGCTCTGCGGTAAGCAATCCGCGCGAGCGGCACGCGGGCGGAGGGGAGGAAGGGGGCGCCGCCGACGTAATTGCGGAAGAGGTAAATGAAGAGGACCCGCAGGGAGAAGGCGAGGAAGAGGTGGACGAAGATGAAAAGAAAAAAGAGGACCCGGAAAAGGAAGAAGAAGAACAAGCAGGAGGTGACAAAATAAGAGACGCAGACAGTATCTGCAAAGATGACACAGAAGTAGAAGAGAAAACAGAAGAAGAAAGGTGTTAGAAAACGAGAAAACTGCACAAAAAGAAAAAAGAGGAGACCGACGAAGAAGGCTACAAAAAGAGGCATAGTAAATACGGACGAAATACATAGGATAACAATATGAATGAGGATAAATCAGAAATGTGAAATGATATAAAAGAATAATTGAAGAAGGGAGTTGTATAAATTTGGAGGTGAGGAACCTCCAGGATGATGAAGTGTACAATAAGCGCAGCGGTCGAAGAAAAAGTTAACGCGGCAAAAGAGGACGCAGAATATTTAGCGGAGAAGATTGAATAGGTGAGGCTGGGGGAGGGGGGTTGGTGGGGGCTGCGCGGTTTCCGAGGGGGCGGCGGAGGCGGTGGAGCGAGGAGGTGGGCCCTCCGGGCTCGAGGGCCTGATTAGCCGAGCGACCGCCAGCGCCGCCGTGGGACCGGTGGCGATTTCACTCAAGCCGACTCGCGAGGCGCAATAAAGCGCGGGCTGCTCTTTGTGGCGATTGGAGCAGCGATGAAGCGTTCTCGCGAGTGGAAGTCATCAAGTGAGTAGTGTAGCACGAAGGCACATAGGTGATACTCTGCCATACTTTTGCGGAGACTTATTCCCATAAGCAACTTTCTTTCTTGATAATGCATATGTAACCGAGATCAGGAATAGATGAAATTTATTAATTAAGCTAGATTACACTATTATAAAACTATTAGTTACA